AAACTAGAGGCAGAAGAGGGATTGTTAGGTAGAGCTGGCTATGGTTTCTGGCCTTGGGCTTAAAGAAAGGGTTGATCTCCCTTTGAAGTAAGAATACTAATAGTGCCTGCAACTTGATAGGAAGCACTGAGTGAGAGGGTTTGAGAGCAATGTGATAGCACGTTGATATCACTATGACTGAACTTGGTGGGAGGCCCGTTTGTAGCTTGAGAGCTACAGGAGCTCCCTCTCGGAAGCGTGGCTGAGAGAAAATAGATGGACAGGGAAAACCAGAACTATTAGAGGGGAGTGAGTTAAAGGTGGGTTGGATGGAAGCTCTCCTAACGCTCCAGCAAACAGGGCCTTTCTCCCCCCAAATATCACCTATGAAACCCCTCTACAGCCCCATCCTTACCTGCTGGTGCCCAAACCAGTGGTCCACGAAGTGAGGTCCCCAGACCATCAGCTTCAGCATCGCCATCACCAGGGAAGTTGTTGCACAAAGTCTCTCTCCTCACCCCAGACCTACTGAGTCAGAAACTCTAGGGAGGGGCCAGCAAGCTGTGCTTTAACAAGCCTTCCAGGTGATTCTGATGTGTGTTCAAGTGTGGCCTAAAGTTTAGGCCCTAAACTATGCAGAAAAATGTTCTTCCCTAAATGGAGGGCAAGTGTCCTATGGGTGCAGAGTTACTGTTAAATCTGAGATATCAGTGCTTGAAACAGGAAAACAGAAAACTTAAGAGTTGGGTAGCTCATAGAGCAATGTGAAGCATCTAAGTTGTTGAACTGTGGCAGTAACAGGGACATAGCGAGACTTGGAACATGGATTTTTGGGAAAGGAAAATTGCACAATATGCAGATGTAAGATAACGACTACCTACATGGTGGGGGCACCAGGAAAACGTTGTCTAATATGCTTTAATTGGGTAAAAATGTGCAATGTGGCTGCTGCATAAATGTGTCCTGATGAGCAATGGTAAACGGCTCCCTTTCTTCTCTCCTTATTTCATTTAAACTGTCCCTGTGGGAGCAAGAGACTGGGCCAATATCCATAGACCTGGTGGGATGAGAGTGATTTCTCAGTGGAATTCATAATAAAAAATGGTTTTTGTTTTCTGGGCTAGCTGCTTCTCCATCATTCTAACTGCTTGCCCTTCACTTTATTGCTGGGCTGGATTAATTCCCAGAGAACAGAGTCGTTATCCGGATGGGAACTTGAACCCCTGATTGGAAGGAGAAAGAATGGAGGATTAGTGAGATCTTAGTTTTTCCCTCATGCAGTTTAGAAACCTGTCAAATCAAAGGTGTCCTGGAGACACATTTTCTGTTTTCCTTTCCTGCTTCTCATCCTGAATTTACACACTAGGGTCCTATTGTCCTATTTATATCTCTTTGCCATTCTCCTTTCATAAGTGTGTTTTGGCATTCATTAATGAAATACCTACTCTACGCAGCGCACAGTGCTAAGTGGCTTCAAAAACCCATACTTTCATCCCATCTTTTCCAACATTCGCAAAGGAGCGGACTGAAAAATAATTTTCCTTTCACACACCTTCATCACCATTTTTTTTAGGCTTTAGTTTGGCCTTTTGTGTTGTTTTCAGGTGAAGAAATTGGGATCCCCATATTTTAAGCTATTTGTGAGAGAGGATGTCATTTTTAGAAATCAAAAGAGAACACACAGATATGCTTTCACTGTGGAGCCTTGATCTGTGACTTTGCCAGGTCTGTGGTTTCTGTTCCTTATTTTCCCACTGAATAGAGGACAGGAGGTGGGAATTGTACAAATAGCAGGTAATCACTTTCCTTCTTTACCGTGTTACTTTGCAACGAGCAGAATAGACCTCTTATCACTCGAGGCAGATAGTTCGGGTTTTTTTGGTTCCTGCAGACATTCATTGTAGCCATCAGGAGTCTGGCCAGCTGCCTTTCACCAAGGCAACTGAGTCAAAGTGGCAATCGAACCAGCACTCCCCTAGGCTGAGGTGGCAGCGATGCCCATCCTGTGAACACAAAGGGCTATGCTCTCACCTGGTAAACAGCACGGGTGAAAACTCCCGTCTCATTTCTATAAACTACCGAGAGAAATGAACCATTGTAACCCATGTCAAACAGACACTGACAGCAGTTTTTCAAAGCCTGGGAAACAGAAAATCTATGTCTACAAATGCAACCTCTTGTCAAGATCACTAGAGTCATTCCATCAAGGAACCTTGAGGAGGAGGGAGGGAATGAGTATTGGCCTTATTTATAAACAACCCAGGATAGGAAGTTGTATGACTTTTTCATGAAGATGCACCTGGTCTCTATGCAGTCGTTATAGTCTATAAATCCCTAGCAGTTCACATTTGTATTTCTCTTTAACAAGGCAACTCTGTGCCGTTCCCTCTTCAGGTTCATCTGCTGAGAGTTGCTCAGGAATCCATTTCTGGCTGTGGGCTCAGGGACTGGGAACTGAGACTCAGATCAGCCTGTATGTGGTTGGAATCCTTTCTCCTCTGCTTTGCAGCTGTGTGACTGTGGCATGTGGTTTACCCTCTCTGAGCCTGAGTTTCCCCACAGAGTGCCATAGGATTACATAAGATAATACAGGTAAAGAATTTAGCCCAGTGCCTGGCCCAGAACCCAGTTAACATTAGATATGATTATATTTGTTATCAATTAAACACCTAAGGGAATTTTAGTTGCATCCGTTTTACCGGTTTTCCTTTGTGTGTTCCTTCTAGTCAGGACAGCATTTTTTATTGTTTTTTTGTTTTTGTCTTCCTCCCATGTCTTTTTGTCACACTCCTCATCCCAGGGAAGGGTGATCATGAGACACCATTTGATCATGAGACAACCTTTTGAGATGAAATCTGCTTTGTGCTTGTCTTTTTGGAAAAGGCTTTGATCACCAGCCGTTGCTTGTGGGTATTTGGCAGGCTGCTGGCTCCTGCCTATCCTGAAAGGCATTAGATAAAAAAAAAAAAAAAAAAAAAAAAAAAAAAAAAGCTAAAGGGCAGCTGGTAGTTCCTTGAGGGTGTGTACAAATGGCACCTTTGCCTACTCCCAATTCCCTAAGGGCGACCCCACTTTCCAGGGCCTCCCGTTGGCCATTGTCCGGATTTCTGGCAGCTCCTTGTTTTCCTGGGCCATGAGCTGGCAGGGAGTCCATAACACTGTGCCCTTAGCATTCTAGTGGCTCACAAGCCAGTGTTTCTCTTTGGCCCTCCTTTGAGTCTGCTGTCTCTGGCACACAGAGGGCTGCAAGAACCTCCGTAAACAAGGAGTGGTGGGCAGCAAGAGAGGGGACAAGAGGGCTCCTCCTCCAAGGAGCCCTCCCAGCAGCAGTATGTAAATGACTTCTTGGAATTGCCAGCTTGGTTCTGGAAGATCACCTTGCAAGTGGGCCCAGCGCCAGCCTGACAGATGGCCTGGGCTGCAGACTGCACAGCCCACTTAGGCCCATCAAGTGTGTGTTCCCTGAAGGCAGCAGGCCCAACCAGGAGTGTCAGGGAGGCTATCCAGGGGCGTGGCACGGTTGCAGATGGGTTCCCAGCTCTACCTACCTACTTTGCTCCTGCCTGTGGTCCTTTCTCTCCGAAGGGGAAAGACCAGCTCTTTCTGTCCACTTAAAAGCAAATTTCAGCTGAGACCAGTTTGGCTCAGTGGATAGAGCTTCAGCTTGGGGACTGAAGGGTCCCGGGTTCGATTCCAGTCAAGGGCATATACCTTGGTTGCGGGCACATCTTCAAGTAGGGGGTGTGGAGGAGGCAGCTGATCAATAATTCTCTCTCATCGATGTTTTTAACTCTCTATCCCTCTCTCTTCCTCTTTGTATAAAATCAATAAAATATCTTTAAAAAAAAAAAAAAAAAAGCAAATTTCTGTATCTCATGATTTTCAGCTGATGCCCGGCCTAGATTCTACATGACAGTCCTCTCAGAAGTGACCAAGTGTTCCCATCAAATGCACCAGCCACTGCACAGTTAAAAAGGAGAATAAAACAGCAAAGCCTGCATGGAAACTTTGTTTGGAAATCCTATGACATCTACTGGATTTTTTTTTTTAAATTGAACTTTCAAATTTTATGATTTCATGTCCTCTACAGCCACAGGCATCTTATCATGTTCTCTTTTGAAAGCATGAATTCTTTTGGAAACAGTTAGAAAATAAATGGATAACTTTTTTCTTCTTCTCCCTGTACTCAGAATAAAAAGCCTGGGGAAATTTAATGTCCCTGGGATCAGCCTGTGGATTTGAGATAAGGATTCAAGGCAAGAAGCCTTTTAAACTCAGAGCAGAATCTGTTTGCAGTTCTTGTCCAATTAACATAAAGTATCTGGTTACTGTGTATGCTGCATAATGCATGGCAGTGTAAACCAAACGTTTTTAAGTGCTGACATTGAACTTCTTGATAACAATGAAGGGCGAGTAACTTGCTAATTTTCTTCAAGAAATCTTCTGGGGGGGGGGGGGGGAAGGTTCTCAAAACAGAATGAATCAACACTTTAGAGCTGAGATGCAGCCGAGGGTTGTCCGTGTGTTCCCACGATGATAGGAAATCTAGAAGGAAACAGGAGCAACCACATGTCATGTTCTCTTTAAGAGCTGGAAAAGCTATCAGAAGAATTAAGATTAAACCTCCTGTGAGTCCGTGGGTGTGGAAAGTCACCAGCTAGCTAATATTAACATAGCTCGCGACAGAATGCTGGTGCTAGAAATAGGACGGTTGCATCACTACCACTAAGCAATTTGCATTCGGTGGACCAGCCCCTACATTCCTCCCGGCTCCTACAGCCCTCTGGGCATTGCATTTCTGGACGCTTTTAGACACGGGAAGCTCACTCACACTTGGCTGTGCTGGTTTCCCTGGGAACTCCTACCCAAAAAGAAGAAGCGGCGAGAGGAACATCTGCTTTGTGTGCAGGAGGGTGGTTGAGCTACCAGCAAATCTTCAGGCATCTGTGGAATCGGGAAGCTAGATTTCGTATGGTTGTCCACAGGGAGGGGCAGACAAGGACCTTCTTGTTTTCCTCGTCATGGATAATCTGTTGCCTCAATCTAAATTCTCTTTCTTCAAAAAACATCCTCTCCATGCCATTAGGAAATATGTCTCGGCGCTGAGGAAAAACCAAAAAGCGGAAGAACAGGTACTCTTTTCTTTATATTATCTTTACAGGGAGCAGGATGTTTGCTCTATAGGTGTTGCCTTCACGTCACCTGGGGATTTAGTCTTTGCTAGTTTCCCTGGGAAAAGGCACAGGTCAGCTTCTGCTCCGGGCTGTCCAGACTTGCCAATTCGAGGAGCAAGCAGGCTCGTGAGGATTTATTTGAACTCGGAACATTTGGATCCTTAGATGAGGTTCCAGTAGTGTACTAAGACCTCGTGTTTTTCTTTCTTCTGAATAGCTAGACTAAACTACTCTAGCAGAGTTAAGTTGTGGCTTTCTTGATAATTTTCTAGGTCTTCAAATACAAAATGTAAAACAATTAGTATCTCCACAAAGAAAAGTGATCAGGCCCTGGATATACATTGTCTTCTTGTATGTATTTATCTTATATGTATTTATGGTTATGGTAATATCACCAGGACTTGCAAAACAGAAAACATTGTGTAGACTGTAAGTGTGATAGTTTTAAGCAGATCCCTAATGAGCTGAGAAGGTCATTTAGAAGTAATTAGTCTTTTTTTTTTTTTTTTTTTAATGGAGGGTAGAGAATAGAGGAATGCAAGTTTCAGTCTTTTTCAACCAATCAAAAGTTAGGATTTCCAGTAGTAGACTCTATCATGGGGGAGTATACATGTTGTTTAATAACTGTTAGAATGTCTGGTCACTTCTTTAAAATCATGGATTAAAAAAAATCATGCATTTGTTCCATTGTTCTGAGACGTATATCATTCTATCACTTATGAAAGAGACATTTCTAAAAGCTGCTCTCCTGTATTATACCAAATTGGTAGAAGAAACCACTGTTTCTGATCCATTAAATCTGGTGGTTCCTTTAGAAAGAAGAACAAATGTTTAGCCACATTGGAGACCAGAATCATACATTGCTTGGGCATCATACTTGTCACTAGAACTGCAAGCTGCACGGGAGATATTAGCAGTGTCCTGTATTTGAATGAGGTGACCTACTTATCAAAACAACTTCAGAAAGTGAGAGCAAAAGTCAGCAGACAGAAAGCCCTCTAATGACAGGTTTCCCCAAAGCGATGATGCATAATTTGGAAAATGAAAACCATTACTACTGTTTGAGAGAAAACTACTTTTATGCTTTGCTTTGTGTGTGTGTGTGTGTGTGTGTGTGTGTGTTTCCTTTCTTTTTATGCTGTGCTTTAATAATTTTACATGAGCTAGAAACTCAGACTGTGCTCACTAAGGGGGCTACCCTTAGTAGCCAATTTATCTCTTATTTAGGAAAGGCATCATGATTTCAAGGACATCTTTTGGTTTCCAAGTCTCAGCAGGTGCTTGCTTTTGAAGTGGAAAACCAGAGGGCCGGTGGTGGTGCTGAGAGTTGTCTGCCACACTCAATAAGTGCATGTCCACGGGCTTCTTCAGGACTCATTATGAGAGCAAGAGCGATGGGTAATGGGGAGGATAAGGGGACTGAAAGGATGGGGCTTCAAACTGTGGACTGTGCATTAAGTGATTCTCCCTCCCTTTTCTCAGTATTATATGTTTTTTGGAGATGTGGCTCTATTGCTCACACCATTTATTTTTTTTAAAAGATTATTTTTTAAATGTTGCAACATGCATTTAGTACATTAGAATTTAATGTGGGTCCTCTGACTTGGACTGGGTGGGTTCACAGCCATTGGAGGTGACCTAACACAGCTATGAGCACTGTACTGATTTCCTAACTTCCTGCATCAGTTAATGGAGAAATAAAGAAAAATGACATAGTTGATTCTTTTCTGAAACCAATTACAGCTCTGCAGATATAATGTCTCACAAAATTAAAGAAATTAGGTCAGAGTCAATCATACTTAACCTTGGGGAGCTTGTTGCAAAGTTATAAAGGATGTTAAAAATGTCTATAATTTTAGGACCTGGATATTGGTTATCTCTAGTCCTTACATTCCTATAAGATGGATCCTCTTTATAAAAATGAGGGATGTGAGACTTAGAGACCTTAAGAGGTCTTGCCCAAGGCCACTCAGCTAGAAAGTGCTGAAGGAAGATTTGAACTTGATCCATTTTACCATGCTTTATCTCTGAATAATTCAGTGAGAGCATCACAACAAACTGCTAACATTTTTTTGTAGAGAGTATTTCCACATACCACTATAATAATCCTTCCCATAAGGATTTAACACCTGTACACATTTACGTATTCCTTAATATTTTTCTGTATTTGCATTTAAAATCACTCACTCTTAAAATTTAAATTTGTTTTGAAAGAAATTTTCATATCACTACTATAAATGGAAAACCACTCTCATTTGCCTTAAATAGAAGAGAAGCATAATTATAATAAAAGCAGCATAATGTTAAATTATAACTAGATATTGTTAGCTGTGAAACCTGTAAGCCTGAAACCTGCTCCATTTTGTTAAGTAGGAAGATTAGCTTTTAAGAGATTAGCATCCTACTAACCAACTGAGAGATTCTCCTGGGCAAGGATAGAAGGGAATTACAAGATAGATACATTTCTCAGTTCCAAGTACTTCATTGTTATTTAGGGTAGAGTCTGCATGCCACTTAAAATCTTCACTCAATTCATCATTGGCTTCCACCAGTGTTATGTTCCACACACTTTAGAGAAAATGATCTCAGACACACCATCTGCTGCTCCACTTCTGTGCATTCAGATATATTCCTCCCTTTAGCCTAGAATTTCTTTCTTTACTTACACCATGCCCACATCCTTTAAGACTCAGCTTCAATGGGCTCATGAAAAAGCTTTCTCCAATTCTGTTGGGAAGAGTGAAGCGTAAGATGTTCTGTCTGCTCCTAATAAGGCCCTTTACCATATGGTATGTAGCAAGCCATTTGATTACATGTTCATAAACATACAGCCTATACATACATGATGCTGGGTAGTATCTTATTCTTTGTCCCTTGAGGCCCACCTGGGCACCTAGCATAGGATGATATAGGAGAGACCACAGGCCGATTGCCTATAGAAAGCCTCCTTTCTTGCGTCAGCCCATATCTTTTTCTTTTTATTGATTTTAGAGAAGAATGAAGAGGGAAGAGAAATATCAGCAATGAGAGCCATTGATCAGCTGCCGCTTGCATGCCCCATACTGATTGAACCCACAACCTGGGCATGTGTCCTAACTGGGAATCAAACTGTAACACACAACCACCGAGCCACATGGCCAGGCTCTACCCACTTCTTCACTAGACCTGCAGAGTTCCCACACATCCCAGTCACGGTCACTGTTATACTCACCTTGTCCACATTATACTTCTTTGTTTAAAGTTTTTCTTTAATGTTCTTAAACACCCCTTGCACTTGGTGCCATACAAACATGAAGATTTGACCTCAGAGCTGGTTGCCATCATTTTGCAGAAAATAATAAAAAAGATGTGAAAGGATGTGATTAAGGTTTTACAGATGCTAGCGAAGAGCAAACTAGAAGCCAGGCCTTCCAAATCCTGGTCCTCTGTGGGCCATTTCCACTATACCAACTTGACTCTATTTAACAAAACGGCTGCCATCAAATATAGCTTATCCTGCGAAGATGACACCACACATACTTTTTTTTTTTTTAGTGAAGTATTTATTTATTTATTTTTATTTTTTAAATTAAATTATCTCTGTACATATACCATTGCCCCCCTCCCCCATCCATGCCCTCCTTCCCCAGAGTTTTGTGTCCATTGGTTGTACTTGTGTGCATGTGTGCGGGTCCTTCGGTTGATCTCTTGTCTTCCTCAGATCTCCCTTCCTGCTGTGGTTTGGTTTGGTAGTTTTTGTTGTCATTTGATGATGAACATGTTGGAACAGTATTATTCAAAGATATAATTACAAGTGGTAGTGGTGGTAGTTGGGGGCACTTAGGAGAGTTTGGGTAGGTATACGGAACACATTCAAAGTGTATATGATTGCAGCTAGTTTCTCTTGGTTGAGAAACCAAGCAGAGTCTGACTCAGATGTTGATGTCTGAGCTTGTGGGGAATAGACAGAGCTTGCAGGCAATATTCTCTTGGGTACTGGAATCCCAATAGCTTTCTCTGTGACTCTGGTTACCAAGTAGGACACTGAGTAAGGAAGGTAGAATTTTTTCTACTTCTGGGCAGACTGTAGCCTGACTTCAGGCCACGCTAGCTTTGTATATCAAATTGCCTATTAGACATCTCCATCTGAATGTCTTGTGGATGTTAGAGACTTGAATGTGTCCAAAGAGAATTTATAAGCTCTATTCTCCAAACCAGCTCTTCTTTAGGTCCATTGATTGACACAAAAGCTCAAAAGGGGAAACTTGGGAGTTTATTTATTATTGACAAGTTGATCTTCAGGCAACCCTCCTTGGGGAACATCTCAATAGTGTCAAAAATAAAAATATAAATAAAGATAAATTTTTAAAAATAAAATAAAATTAAAAAAACTTGGGCAAAGACTGAGACAGAGAAGAGCCTTCTATTTGGAGCTCTTGTCCCTCTGCTTATATTGCCCTACAGTAGCCTCATCAACTTGAATCTCTTCTTCCTGTGTCCCACAGATGAGGGATTCGGTGAGGATGCCTTACTCTCTTGAATAGAAAGACTTCTTTCTGAACAGGAAATACCATCTAAGAGCTGACCTGTCATGTCTTGACAGTTTAACAGTGAATCTGTTTAAAATGAGGAGAGTGTTTTTTTGGTGCCAAGGTGCATGTGAAAAAAAAAAAAATATATATATATATATATATATATATATATATATATATATATATGAATTAGGCCCTTGAACTGGTATTATATATACCCACAAAGTTACCCACACATTTTTTTTACTATCTCTCTATAGTCTTATCATCTGACTATGCAAATGTGTGACCATTGATATCTTTACATAAATATGGACACCAATGTTGACCTGGACAGAGAAAACAATCTGTCACCTGTCATCTTATTTTGTGGAATTCCTTAATTTCTTCAAGGATTAAGCAAGGTTTGTTCCTATATATTGTGTGAGGAGCGTTTTTATAGGTAAT